AGCAGAGGAGGGCAGTTGTGGGCAATCAGGCCAGGAGAGGAGGGCCATTGGGAGGGACCAGGCCTGAAAGGGAGGGCAGTTGGGGTGACCAGGCCTGCAGAGGAGGGATGTTGGGGGGGACCTGCCCTTCAGGGGAAGGTAATTAGCGGTGGCCAGGCCGGCAGGGGAGGGCAGTTAGGGGCAATCGGGCCAGCAAGGGGAACAGTTAGGCATAAATCAGCCTGGCAGGGGAGTGGTTAGGGGTGATCAGGCTGGCAGGCAGAAGTGGTTAGGGACCATCAGGCAGGCAGGCAGGCAGGCAGGCGAGCGGTTGGGAGCCAGAAGTCCTGGATTGTGAAAGGGATGTTGGATATCCCTCTAGGGGTCCCAGAATGGAGAGGGTGCAGGCTGGGCTGAGGGACGTCCCCTTTCCCCCCGACCCTCACCCCCACACACGAATTGCATGCACCGGGCCTCTGGTTACAGCAATAAGGGCCCTCCCCCAATATCTGGTCCTGGACTTCACAGGCCTGGGCTAAGGGCTTCTGCGAAGTGATTTTGTTTCGCCCTCCTGCCTCCTCAGGGGTGGACAATGCTTTCATCTTGTTTCACAGGCGAGGACCTGAGGCTCAGAGGCGGCACAAGGTCAACCAGGAAGTGGGAGGGCCCATCTCCGTCTCCACCCCCGCCTGCGCCCCGCCCTGGACTGTTACCCTATCCTGCCTCCCCGGAGCATCCATGTCTTTCTCTCCAGGTCACCCAGCCCCCCTCCCCGGGCTCCTGCGGGTCCCAGGGCCCGGCCTGGAAGCAGCTGCCTGACCCCGTGGCCTTGGCTGGATGGGCAGGGGTGGGGGAGGGCCGTGCCTGACACCCTGCTCTGGGCCTCCGGGCCCAGAAACCTGAGTTGCTAAGTTACTGGTAGACCACAAGCCACAGGCCCTGCCAGCCCGGGGCGGGGGGAGGCGGGCGGAGCGGCTGCTAAATAAATAATTAGAAAGCTCGGAGGGAACGCTCTGGGCCTCTGGGCCTGGCTCCAGTGCCCAGGACAGGACGCTCCCCGGCCGCCCTCACCCCACGGACCCAGGGCTCAGCCTCCTCTCTCCCTTCCTCCTTCTCTCCTTTTTTCTTTCTTTCTTCCTTTAATGGTGATTTGAGAGAGAGAGAGAGAGAGAGAGAGAGAGAGAGAGAGAGAGAGAGAGAGAAACACTGATGTGAGAGAGACTCATCAACTGGTTGCCTCCCATACACGCCCGACCTGGTCAGGGAGCGAATCTGCAACCCAGGTACAGTCCCTTGACTGGGAATCGAACCCATGACCTTTCAGTGCGTGGGCTGATGTTCCAACCACTGAGCCACAGCGGCCAGGGCAGCCTTTCCGTTTTTATCTCCCTGCTCTGGCGCCGGCCCACTGCCTCAGCCTCCTTTCTTGGGGGCAGTCCCACGGCCCCCAAACGCAACCGTTCTTGGTTTCCTAAATTTCCCAAGCTGCTCACCTCCAGGTCTTTGTCCTTGTGCTGCGTCCTCGGCCTGTACCCTTTCCCTCCTCCCTCCACTGGCCAGTTCCGGCATCCTTCAAAATTCAGCTCCGATGCCCCTTCCTCCAGGAAGCCCTCCCGGACCGCACGCCCCCCTGGGCTCCTTTGTCCCAGCTCTGCTCACTGTCTCCCACGGAGTGCGAGCCCCGGGGGGCAGGAGCGAGGCCGGCCCCAGCCACAGGGCTGGGCACCCGGCAGGCGCTCAGACACAGTTCGCTGGAAGTGTATCTGCGGGCGGAGGAGAGGCTGGGACCCTGGGAGGTCCTGGTCACAAGCCTGATGGTGGCGGCTGAGGCCGAGACCAGTCCTCCCTCTCAGGAGGGCCCAGGGGGACCCACACTCACGTGGAAACTAGACCGCCCCAAAACAAGGCTGTTCCTGCCTGTCACTCCGAGTCAACAAGCAGAGACAAGGCTGACTCACGTCTGAGGGTTCATTCCATGAGGCCCCGGAAAAACCACCCCTGACATTTCATTTCAAACAAACTAATACAGGGCCAGGGCGTGGGGAAATCTAAAGTGCAGTGAGTTCCCAGGGCGGCCTTCTTCCTTCCTTCCTTTCTTTTTTCCTTTCTTCTTTGCCTTTCCTTTCCTTCCTTCCTTCCTTCCTTCCTTCCTTCCTTCCTTCCTTCCATCCTTCCTTCCTCCCTTCTCTCCTTCCTTCTCTCCTTCCTTCTCTCCTTCCTTCCTTCTCTCCTCCTCTCCTTCCTTCCTCTCCTTCCTTCCTTCCTTCCTTCCTTCCTTCCTTCCTTCTCTCCTCCTCTCCTTCCTTCCTTCCTTCCTTCCTTCCTTCCTTCCTTCCTTCCTTCCTTCTCTCCCTTCCTTCCTTCCTTCCTTCCTTCCTTCCTTCCTTCCTTCCTTCTAAATGTTTTTTTTTTTTTTTCTTATAGCCATTTTCAGGAACCTTAATGACTTCAATGTCTTTAAGGCTTGTAACCTGGCTTTACTATTGCCAGCTTTCTCTAAATTTCTGCAGAACTCATTCAGGTAAGCAGACTTTTAAATGTATTTTTTAAAGTACTTATTCATTCACCAAAACCGGTTTGGCTCAGTGGATAGAGCGTCGGCCTGCAGACTGAAGGGTCCCAGGTTCGATTCCGGTCAAGGGCATGTACCTTGGTTGCAGACACATCCCCAGTGCGGGGCGTGCAGGAGGCAGCTGGTCGATGTTTCTCTCTCATTGATGTTTCTAACTCTCTATCCCACTCCCTTCCTCTCTGTAAAAGATCAATAATATATATATATATGTCTTAAAAAAGAACTTATTCATTTCCTTTTTTTCAATATTATTATTTTTTATTGACTTGTAAATTCTCACCCAAGGATATTTTCCCACTGATTTTTAGGGAGAGCGGAAGACAGAGGGAAAGCCAGAGAGAAACACCGATGTGAGAGAAACACATCAATGGTTGCCTCCTGCAGGAGCCCTGACTAGGGCCGGGGCCGGGGAGGAGCCTGCAACCAAGGTGCATGCCCTTGACTGCAATCAAACCCGGGACCCTTTGGTCTGCAGGCCGACGCTCTAGCCACTGAGCCACACCAGCGAGGGCAGAACAGCCTTCCTTCATTGTCCCTGCAAAGATCCGCCCGGAACGCTGTCTCCTTCAGACAGCTTCTGTGCTTGGCCTGGGCCCGGGGCTGCCTCAGATCTGGGGCCCGCCCTCCCCGCGTCACACGTCCCTCAGCCTCCCCGGGCCCTGGCCCAAGCCAGTGAGGAGATGGCTTTTGCAGGGAGGAGCTATGAAACGGCTGTGATTCTGTTTCCATGACGCGCTCCTCCCCACCCACCCACAGGGGCCCACGTTGGACAGGAGCGCTCTGCACTGTAACACCGATCTCACATGTTCCCCCAGCCGCCCACTGAGCCCGTCATTTCCTTCTTCTTTTATTTTTTTTAAAAAGTTTGTTTTGATTTTACAGAGAGAGGAAGGGAGAGGGAGTACAAGAGAGAGAGAGAGAGACATTGATGGGAGAGAGAAACATGGATTGGCTACCTCCTGCACACCCTCAACCTGGGCCCTCAACTGGGCAATGTGTCTTTGATTTTTTTACAGAGAGGAAGGGAGAGGGAGAGAGAGTTAGAAACATCAATGAGAGAGAAACATCGATCAGCTGCCTCTTGCACACCTCCTACTGAGGATGTGCCCGCAACCAAGGTCCATGCCCTTGACCGGAATCGAACCCGGGACCCTTCAGTCCGCAGGCTGATGTTCTATCCACTGAGCCAAACCGGTTTTGGCCTGGGCAATGTGTCTTGACTGGGAATCGAACCCCTGACCTTTTGGTGCAGGGGACGAAGCTCAGCCAACGGAGCCACACCAGCCAGGGTTCACTGCTTTCTCAGAATCCCAGGCCTCCAGCCCGCCCACCCCTGGCCCCGTGTCCCTGTGATGAAATCAGGATCTGGGTAGGAGGTTTGGCTGAGTGGGAAGGAAGCTGGTTGAAGCCGGTTGGCATGTTTTCCTCTCCAAGCCTGGGGAGGGCCGCGGGGAGGACACTCTGGCTGATCCTGGACCAAACCCTGCAGTCTTCCCATCTCCGCCCGGACCCATCCGGCACTCCCCGGGGTCCTGGGGTCCTGGGGTCCTTGAGGCCTGGGGCCTCCTCCCTCTATCTTGCCGCCAGCCTGGCACCCCTGTGCGTGGAGTGGGTGGGCAGGGAGGGGCCAAGCCTGCCCTCCTCCCATGTTGCCCAACTGGCCTCAGCCATTTCTCCATGCCCCGGGGCTTTTGGCTGCCAGGAGGGCTGGCATGGGGCTTCCCGTCCCCAGCCTGGTCACCTGGAGCCCAGCTGCCTGGCCCTACCCCGGACGACCAGCAGCTTAGGCTCCCGTGGCCTGGTGCTCCCCCCACCCCCGCCCAGGGCCTGGCATTCCTTGGGGGAAGCACTGGCCTGTGAGTCTGTGTCTGGAGGAATTCATGGAAGGGGCCTTTGTTGTTGTTGTTGTCAATCCTCACCCGAGGATGTTTTTTCCATTAGTTTTTAAATATATATATATATTTTTAATTGATTTCAGAGATAAGGGAGAGGGAGTGAGAGATAAAAACATCCATGATGGGAGAGAATCATTGATCGACTGCCTCCTGCACACCCTCCACTGAGGATGGAGCCCGAAACACAGGCATGTGCCCTGACCGGGAATCCAACCATGACCTCCTGGCTCATATTTTGACATTCAACCCCTGAGCCATGCCAGCTAGGCATCCATTGGTTTATAAATATTTTTTTTTTTCTATTGATTTTTAGAGAGAGTAGAAGGGAGGGGAGTTGAAGGGAGGGAGGGGCGGAGAGAGAGAAACACCAATATGAGAGAGACACATGAACTGGTTGCCTCCCGCACTGGATTGAATCTGCAACCCAGGTACACACCCTTGACTGGGAATCGACCCATGACACACACACCCTTTTTTTTTTTTTTACAGGGAGGAAGGGAGAGGGACAGAGTTAGAAACATCGATGAGAGAGAACCATCAACCAGCTGCCTCCTGCACAACCCCCTACTGGGGATGTGCCCACAACCAAGGTACATGCCCTTGACCGGAATTGAACCCGGGACCCTTCAGTCTGCAGCCCAACACTCTGTCCACTGAGCCACACCTGTTAGGGTACCCATGACCCTTTTGTGCATGGGCTGACATTCTAACCACTTAGCCACAGGGGCGTTCCTCACTTCTGCAGTAGACACACGTTGATCTATCTCTAAAGCACATGTGTCAAACACAAGGCCCGCGGGCCAAATCCGTCCCGCCAGGCCTTGCAATGTGGCCCGCACCGCGCTGTCATCACTGCACTCCGCTGCGTTTCCATCACAATGACAGTTTATGACTGTTCAGTAAACCATTCGGCCCGCGATTTAGGCTGGATTTTAGATTTTGGCCCCTTCTCTGATTGAGTTCGACACCCCTACTCTAAAGGCTTAAAATGCCGGCACCAATCAAAAGGCTTTACATGGGACAGCTGGGCTCCCTCCTCAGGATCTCGGAGGCAGGCCCCCGCTACCCCCATTTCTCAGGGACTTGGGCCCCGGACCCGGCGCTCAGTTGGTTAGAGCATCATCCTGACCCACCAAGGTTATGGGTTTGATCCCCAGGCAGGGCACATACAAGAATCAACCGCTCTAACCGGTTTGGCTCAGTGGATAGAGCGTCGGCCTGCAGACTCAAGGGTCCCCGGTTCAATCCCGGTCGGGGACATGTACCTTGGTTACAGGCACATCCCCAGTGAGGGGTGTGCATGAGGCAGCTGGTCGATGTTTCTCTCTCATCGATGTTTCTAGCTCTCTATGCCTCCCCCTTTCTCTCTGTAAATAATCAATTAAAAATATATATATATATATCATAGAATCAACCAATGAGGGCATAAATAACTGGAAAAACACCTCCCCCCCCCCTATAAAATAAAAAATCAATTAAAAGAGAATAATTGAGTCACTCGGCTGCTGGTAGTGAGACTCGCCCCCGCCGATCCTCGAAGCCACGGCTTTTCTTCCTGGCAGTGACCATCTTAGCCGTTTCTGCCCATTCGTGTGGAGAGAGTCGGTGCCCTTTTCTCAATGTATTTTTTTTTGGGGGGGAGGGTAATCCTCACCTGAGGATATTTTCCCATTGCTTTTCGGAGAGAGTGGAAGGGAGGTAGGGAGAGGGAGAGAGAGAAAAACATCTACTGAGAGAGACACATCCACGGGTCGCCTCCCGCACGGGTCCGGACTGGGGACAGGGAGGGAACCCCCCAACCCAGGTTCTTTGCCCTTGACTGGGAATCAAACCCGAGACCCTTCGGTGCGCAGGCCCGAGACTAACCACTGAGCTCGCCAACCAGGCCCTCCTGGATGTTTCTCAACCACCGGATTTATTACCTGAGCCTGCCCCCTCCTCCCCCCTTTCTCCCCCCGCCTCTGCCCATTGGACATCCCTCAGCTCTTGGTGTGTGGGTGTGGTTTGTTGAAAGGCTGAAGGAATGTATCGCTGAGCTGACAGATGCCTGATGGAAGAGTTGGAGCTTTATCCTGAGGGAAGCCACGGGGAGGGAGGCGGGCACTCAGAGGGCGGGATGACTAGGTGAGATAGGTGCTTGGGAGCCTTCTGGGCGCCCCCCCCCCCAGCGCCGTGGTTTTGCATATGCTGTTCCCTGTGTCTGGAGTTCTCTCTCTCTGGCTTGGCCCCTCTCCTTCCCATCCCAGCTGTGCGGTCTCCTCCTCCAGGAAGCCCTCCCTCACTCCCACGCTGGTCAAGCACCCCTTCCGGGCTGCCCCATCCCACGTTCTGCGTCATCATTGTTGTCTGGGGCTGGGTCCGAGCCCCTTCTGGACTGTGACTCCCCCAGGGACAGGGCTGGGACTGTCTTAGTCCTCGCTGGGTCCCTGGTACCGCCCATTCCCGGCCCAGCCAGGTGCTCAGAGTAAGTGACGGTCCCCTGAGGAAATGTCTCAGGTTGGGGTCCGGGAGCCAAGGGGAGGGGGAGCTGTGGTGTCCCCGAGGGGTGGAGGGCGCAGGCTGGGGCCAGAGACACCTGAGTTCAAAGCTCCTGCCCAGCTCAGGGGTTTGGGGCCCCAGGAGCCTTAATAACCTCTGTCTGCCTTTGATTTAGTGAAATTCTTGAAAAACCTTATAAGCGTAGATTTGAACTCTATATCCAGTCGCTTTTTGTCCTCCATTTCTTTCGTTTGTGAGCTATTTCGATGTCGTGGCATTTTCGCAGCTTCCCTGATGGGGCGGGCACATCCCCAGCAGGAGGTGTGCAAGAGGCAGCTGATCGATGACTCTCCTATCGACGTTTCTCTCTCTCTCCCTTCCTCTCTGTAAAAAATCAATAAAATATATATTAAAAAAAAAAAAAAAAAAAAAGAGCGGGAATCTGCGCTTTACACCGGAGGAATTGAAGAGCTGATGAAAGACCAAATTTGGGGGTGGAGGAGGAGTGTCAGGCGGAGTTGACAGGAGGAGGAGCGCGGGAGGACCACAGGCCCCGCCCACTCCGGGCCCCGCCCCTGGATACGGCCCCTGTTATTGGGCTTTAACCTCCCAGGGGGCGGGGCGCTGGGCAGGTCCCCGCCCGCGCCAGCCTCACCCGGGTCTGAACCTTTAACCGTAGCAGCTTCCTCCGAGCGAGCGAGCGAGCGAGCAGAGAGCCACGCGGCGGGCGCGGGGAGGGCTGCAGTGTCCAGGGGCCCCGGACCGCCGCCTTCCACGCCCAGGAGCCCCGACCGCCCCCTCCCGGATCCAAGGACCTGGTTCCCCTCTCCCCGGAGCTCCGTGTACCGCCCCCCCATCTCCCCGCCAGACCCAGGCTCCCGCGTCCTCCCCGTCCAGGACCAGGCACTCCGGGTCCCCCCTCCCGGATCCAGGCGTCCGGCATCTGCGCCACCAGGACCTCGGCCGCGTCATCCTCCCGGAGCCAAGGACCCCGAGTCCCGGAGAAGCTCCTGGATCCCCACTCCCGCGGCCAAGGCACCTAAGACACCCCGCCTTCGGGCTCCGGACACCACCTCCGGGCAGGGAAGCCCCGCGCCGGCCTCGGGACCGCTGACTCTCCATCGGCCCAGAACCAGGAACTTGGGCGCCGGGACGCGCGCCGGGGACCCTCCGCCCCAGCCCCCGGCTGCTCCTCCGCTCGGCCCGAGGGAACGTGGGTGTCCTCGGCGGGAGCCCCAAGCCCGCCCAGCTCCCAGGCTCCAAGAGACCCCGGGGAGTGCACGATGGTGGCCGATCCGCCCAAGGGAGCGGACCCCACGTGGCCGGCCGCGAAGCCCGCCGCGAACGGCGCGCCCCCCGAGGCCCCGGGCGCAGCGGGCAGCGGCGGCGGCGGCGGCGGCTGCTCGCGGGCCCGGGCGCGGCGCTGCCTCCGCGCCAACCTGCTGGTGCTGCTGACCGTGGCGTCGGTGGTGGCGGGCGTGGCGGTGGGGCTCGGGGTGGCGGCGGCCGGCGGCTCGGCGGCGCTGGGCCCCGCGCGCCGGGCGGCCCTGGTCTTCCCCGGGGAGCTGCTGCTGCGCCTGCTGCGGATGATCATCCTGCCGCTGGTGGTGTGCAGCCTGGTGGGCGGCGCCGCCAGCCTGGACCCGGGCGCGCTGGGCCGCCTGGGCGCCTGGGCGCTGCTCTTCTTCCTGGGCACCACGCTGCTGGCGTCCGCGCTCGGCGTGGGCATCGCGCTGGCGCTGCAGCCCGGCGTCTCCGACACCGCCCGCCCCGCCGGCAACGCCTCGGCCCCCGGCGCCGTCCCCAAGGACGCGGCCCTCCCCAGCAAGGAGGTGCTGGACTCCTTCTTGGACCTCGTGAGGTCAGGACCGGCCGCCGGAGGAGGGGAGTGGGGGGGAGAGGGGGGGGGAGAGGGTGCTCAGCCACGTGGCGGGGCGGGGCCGGAGGGCGCATGGTGGTAGGGATGGCGGGAATGGATTCTCCGGAGCCCGGACACCTCCAGGGCCTCAGGAGACTGTGTGTGTGTGTGTGTGTGTGTGTGTGTGTGTGTGTGTGTGTGTGTGTGTCTAGGGAAGCTCTGGTTTTTCAAGGGGGAAGAGAGATTCCTGGGGAAGGATGTGGGGGACTGGAGACATAAGGGGGTGGGGGGACCTCACATAAGGGCTTACAGAGAAAAGGGAAAGCCATGCTTGGGGGACATAGAGGGGCTCTCCTATCCGGGGCGGGGACCCTGAGGATTTCCACGGGGAACTTTGGTGGCCAAGGGCTCCAGTCTGGGGCTTCTGGGTGGAGGTGCGAGTCCAGGGTCTGGATACACCCCAGGGGCCCCCACCAGGCCCCCTTCCTAGTCCCAGGGCTTCCCATGCCATGGGCCACCCCCACCGCCAGCTTCTTTCCTCAGCCTCCCTTCCCACCCCGTTCAGCCGGCATGTGCTCCTGGTAAGCCCTGCCACCGCCACCTCTTCCATTCCTCTCCCTTCTGCCCCCCCCCCCCCCCGCACCCCAGGAGGGTTCTCCCTCCTTTTAATGAGGACAGGGTGCTGGATCCCCACCGCCTGGCCTTGGGGTCCTGCTGACTCAGTGTCTCCAGGTAGATGGGGACTTCCTGGAAGTGGCGGAGGTAACGGATGAGTCACGGAACCGGGTTCCCCCAGCCTCCGGGGCCTCCCTGCCGCCCGAGAGGGGACACACCCAGGAGCTGCCGTGGGGGGCGCCTCCTGGCGAGGGGAGATTAGCGGCCGGGCTGGCCAGGTGCACACCCACTCGGAGGCTGTTTAAGCTTAGAGACCTCTTTCCCATGTGCCAGAACCAGATGTAATTCTGTATCTGCCCTGGCCAGCCACGCCCAGGCTCTGCGGAAGCATCTGGAGCCGCACAGCTGTGCACAGACACACGGAAACCCCGGCCACGCCTGTGATGTCGCAGGCATCTGTGGTCACACAGGCAGGGATGCACATTCCTGACACACACAGCCATGCCTTGTCTCCCTCGGTCCCCACCTCCTCCCAAGGCCCAGAGCCGTGCGGGCGGGCCCTCTGGGCAGACAGCCTGCCCTTTTCTCGGTTCCCGGAGGAAGTGGCTGATGCAAGAAGTCGTGGGTATTAAGTTTGCT